ACCAGGACACCCTATTAATAAAAACTGGTTAGTTGATGAATATGACTCATGACTGCTTTTCCCAGCCGTCTCCTTGTCCCCCCAACCGCCGAAGAACTCCAGGTCACCGCCCTTGTAGTCCCAAGGCTCACTGAGCAAGACCATGGCGCAGTAGTTCCGGTTCTCCTCAGCTCGGGTCACTGGCTGCGAGAGATCCAGATGAGAAATGGCTGAGTGACCCCCAGATAAACCATCCAACTGGTGTCCCTTAAGAGGAATCATTCCTAACACCTCAGCTGTCAAGCGAGAGGGCCACAACCTGTGGAAAGCAGGTGACCCAATATTAGCTTAAGTTGACCCTAATAGTAGCATTATATGGGGAGAAAAAACGTTTGGGGCGAACTTGTCGGGTCCGAGGTTCAGGCTCTTGACTGCGGGTGCCAACTGTCAGCACACTTGGTAAAACATACCCAGCCCGAACCATTTGGCCCCTTTGAAGCAGCACTGGGCGGTTCACCCAAAACAGGAATGCCATTCCTACCGCTACCTTTGCAGCGGCCCCTTTCTCGCCAGCCGCGATTGTCACATGGCTGAACAGCCAGAAGGGTAGTAAAGGGCACCATTGGCAAACCTTGGCGCTAACAAACCTTGACAGCCAGTGCTGTAGGTAGCCTTCATTGAGCCGCAAAGTTCAGAGCCATTTAGGGCCACCCCTGAAAAGCAAGCGACTAGTTCAAGCTTTAGAAGGCAAATGGCTTGTGCAGTTCCTCTTGGGTGGGCAACTTGCTGGGTTGCACCAAAAAAGCATACTTATTGCTTCTGCTTCATACTTAGTCAACCCCCAAACTTGCCCTAACATATAGACAACATTTGGAGGCGCCCCCAGGCAAAAGTCCGTGAATCTTTAGGCTTTGGAACACGCTCTCTTGGCCGGGCCTATGCATGCCCTAGCTGTAGGCCTTGCCTAGGCCTACACCTGTTGGAAGCAATGCTTGTGCCGGGAGATTTGTATGGCATCTAGGGGAAACAGCACTTGATGGATCTCTTCGTGCGCGTTGCTCCAGGATGTGGGTCTTGCTCAGGGGAGCTCACCAGTGATGTGGCAACCCCGGGTGGCACTTGTATCAAACCAGCCAAACAACTCCTCACACACACACACTACTCAGACACTCAAACAACCATGACAATAGCGATGACCATGATAAACATATGCGCCAAAAGCAATTACTAACAGTCATGATAGTAATGGCACTGAAAACACATGCATGTGTGGCAACGCATTCAGGTATGCTGAACAAGCAGGGTTCCTTTTTTTAGAAGGACTCAAAACCAGGGTTCTTTATTGTAGTAGATAGACCACGCCTTGTTGGTGAAAACTAGCTCAACACAGAGACACAAACCCAATCAGCATATGTGGATAAACAGACACACACATAATAATATTCATATATATATATATATCATAGATATATACAGATATATGCGGAAACAACACATGATGACAATCAAGGTGAGGGTGACAGCAGCCAAGGGCGCTCAGAGCTTCATCATGTGTACGAACATAACATACGCGTGTATGGATATAGAACAAGCTGGCCAAATACCCAACATAGTGGGTTGCTCCTCCCCCTTGCGCAACAGGTTTAACTTGTTGTAGGTTTTCTGGAGAAGCAACTGTTGAAACCAGAATTCAATGGGGCCCTTTTTGGGCTCAGACCAAAGACTAGGCATAGAGCACTGAGAAAGCGCCAACTTTCCGCCGGGCACGGTACCGAGGGCATAGTGCACCGCGGCCCCGTGCTGCGCTGCGCGCACCTCGTCGCGCTCGCGAATGCGCCGGCCCTGCCACCAGACCTTGGATGCACTCAAAGGTGGCTGCCCTAACAGCCTTAGCTCCCGAGCTGCAACCGACTGGCTAAAGATGAAAGAAGAGCTGTGGCTTTCTTTTGGCTTCCGTTTGAAAGAACTGCGAAAAGTTTTGGTAACTCCGAACACGATGGGTAGACTCGGAAAAGTGTTCCCTGACAAAAAGGGGCGCCTCCAAAAACCGGCTGGGTTATTCAGAATGCCCCCTGTTCCGAATCCGTAGACCGTGGCGGGCCGCCAACACCAGAGAAACCACAACCGGATCGATTTTGCGAGAGGAAGCCCTCCCCCAAAATGGGTGGTTTGCGCTCGGGTTCCTTCCGAAGCCAATAAGCATAGTCCAAGAAAGACACACAAGGATTGGCATAAATTGCCATAATTCCCAAAACTGAACTGAGCAATTCATGATAATCCATGAGTAAAGGAGCTAACTGTGGGTGAGCTTCTCTCAAAGCACCCACGTCCACGAAGAAACTCCCTTGGGACTGATCTTTGGCCCAACTGCATTAACAAAAAGAACAGCAACCTAGCCTCGGCCATAGGACTGGTGCTGGACCCGTCAAGGTTGCTCAGGGTCAACAAGGCAAGTCGGTCGCGGTGTCCTTGCGAAACTAGAGTTCAACGACATAAGATTTTAGGTTCAAATTCTCATCCATGTTAGGGAACCAACAACACATGCCTACGCTTCAATCATGTTCAGTTGGCCCCAGGAAGCAACACATGGGGAATGCAACATAGCTGGTCACCAATTTAGCGACCTGAGACCAAACAAAAAGCTGGGCACAGCTTTTTTGCACGTGGAGCAGGTACACCTGCACTGACACAAAATGCCTGTATATAACGCGGATGAGAGGCAGAGTCAAACTGCACGTTGTCAGCATGAGGCGGATCTCCTTAATGCGTTCAGCAGATCATGTGACTGCTTGCAACCATTCCAAAGGGCAGAACGCCTTCTGAAAGCTACGACCTTTGCCCTCTAGCCGTCCCTGGAGAGTCCTTCAAGAGTCTGCAGGCAATTGTGCAAGTGCAGTATGCAAACAACCTTGCACACGTCTAGGCTTTCCATCCCACCACCAGCCGTTTGCATGCCGCCAAGCCAAGTTGCCAAACTGTTTGGCAGTTTTGTAGTTTAGAGTCTGTCTGGCGAACGCCACTTGAAAGTGAAATTAGCATGTATGACCGTTCAGAAAGCCCTGGGAAAGAATCGCTCGAACCGTTGCCGATGCTCTGAATTGTGAGGCCATGGAATGGGCCTCAACGTGCTGACAAGCTGAAGGCGAACGCTTCGCCCATCAAACTGCTGTGTTTGGAGCCGGTACGCCCTCAAACTTAGCTTGTTCAGCTGCACTGGTTTTGAAGAAGCCAAGGATGGTGAGCAAATCAGGGTTCCGTTTTTTACTACCCCATGGTAGACTTAAACCCAGGGATTTCCCATTTGAACAACCCTTGGGTTTAAATGCACTTTGGGGTTGTCAAGAAATGGAACCCTGGAGCAAATGACTCTCACAAGGCAAAGATGGGCAGACAGGGTCCCAATCGGCTTCTCCCCCAAGCCCGAGATCTGGCGAGTGTCCCTGGTGGCTGGTTTGGCTTACCATGGCCTGGTCCAGTTCCAACTCCTCATTCAAACTCCGGGCCATGGCCCGCAGAACCTGTCAGCTCAGGCTTTGAGAATGGGAACTGATATGTCGAAGCTCAGCACCCTACGTTTATGCCCCCTGCGTTCAAAGGGCGTGACCATGTGCGCCCTTGCCTATGTCAGAGCAGTATTTCAAACAGTGTGAGGGAGCAGCTGCCACGAATGCCGAATGGATGGGATTGCTTCTCATGGCCCAGTCTTCTGCCAACTTGTCCCCTCCGCACCCGCCTTAAAGGCAACGTGCTTGAACTTGGCCAGCTCTGCTTGGCTCAATTCCTAGCGCGTCAAAACAGCCAATGCCAGAGATCTCCAGTCTAGGACTTCCCTCACTACCACTGCCACCACTACCCCCAAAACCACCTTAGCGTCGTGGCGTGGCTGCACTTGGGGCTAAAAGTGCTGCAAACCCAAAAATCGGACAAGCTCAGCCACCAGGCGAAACGCATCAGGCAGGTCGGTCAGGTCCACACCAGCCGCTTCCCCACTCACCGACCCAAAACGGGCGCTGCAAAGACGGGGCGCCGGTTTCTCCGTGTAGGCGGGCTTGTTCAAGTCATCATGGTGCCGTAGCCAGATTTGCTTCAGCGTCCTGAGGGAGCCAAATAACGAAACACAATTGTTTGACGTGCGCAAGTTGAGCTAGATGTTGGCAGCTACACCATGCAGCCCCTGGAGCATCCACGTGGGAAGTCATGGGAATGGTTGGTTCTCCCTTCCCGCTGTGCGGCAAAGAGCACGCAGAACCTGTGGACTGGAGCAGGTTTAGTGGTCCGAAAGGCAAACGTGTCCCGATTCAGGAGGAAGCAACGCGTCCCATGGACAGCAATAATACGCAGATTCGGTTGGCAAAGCTGTGCAATTGACCCTGTCCCTGAATTGCAATGGGTGTGACGACCAGCTGTCGGGGTCCTATTGAAGGGAACGCTTGCCGGTTCCCAGCGTGCCAGTAGAGCCCAATTGAGTCACACTGGGATGCCCTTGACGCAGGAGGCAATGGAAGGTTGCCGGTCGCACTCAGCACATGTTTCCGAGCAGCTTGGATGAGGCTCTTCGAGTTGGGGGATCCCAAACTTGCAACCCGTGGAGCACCACAACAAGGGAAACCACTACTCGTAATGTCGACCCCGGTATCATAAGCCCCTGTTCATGAATATGGGGGTGTCCCTGGTTTTAGTGGGGATTCATCACTTCTAGGTCCTCCAGTAGAGAGGTTACAACAAGGCTACCCTTTTGTCCTGCAGTCTATTTTAGTAGGGGATTTCCCCCCCAACCAAAAGAGGGGTTAAAACGGGCACTACTGGGGGATTCCTCACTTTCTGGCACGAAGCATGCAGGACCCGCCAACGCCCGTGGCTCTCTCCTGATGTCCGCCTTGGAAATCACCGGCCCCAGGCTCCAGCGGCCGTGCGTGGCGCAGAGCGCCAAAGGCGGCGGCAGAGGGCAGTGCTCCTTGCGACGTCGAGGCGGGAAGGCTTGGACAAAGGAAGCGGGGATACGGAGGGAGGTCCCGATATGGGGGTGATTCCAACTTGGCGCCATTTCCCATATCAAACTTAGGTGCATTTAGAGGAAATCCTCCCGTATCCCTGGTTCCCCCTGTATCCCTGCTAGTTGGTTTCCCTGAAAGGCAACGCAGCCTTGCCGTTCGCTTTGGACAGGGCACGGATAGGTCAGGAAGCGCGAGGTATACGGCAAATATGCAGGGAGCATGTGGGATGCGCAAACATTCCATGCAAATTGAGGCTTTCTGTTGAGTCTGCAGAAAGCTCGGGGGGGGGGGCTCCTCCGCCTGAGTCCCACCATTTTTTCCGCATGCGCCATGAACTGCAGTCGCAACTCCGATGGGTGTTGCAGTTCTGAGGGCCCCCCCCTTTTAGGGTGTTTAGAGGGCAACCAACATGCAACCGAAGAGGATTTGACGTGTGTGCAGGTCCACATCCATCAGGGATCCTTACATTATACACCTGAACATTGCCTTGTAAATGGTGCTTTCCCTTTATTTTGGTGGAAAAAGCCATGTTTCAAATGGGCAAAATGTATCTTTTAAGGAGCCCTGTCCATTTTGGGGAGTTATTTTAGGGACACCCTCGTTATCTCGCAAGTGGCCCAATGGCGCTCCTTCGCCTTTTCTTCCGTGGCGTTGCCGATGCCTGCAAGCAACCGGGCAGCTCTTCTGAGCGCGCGGGTGAAGCAAGATCTGGGCAAATGACTATATGGCTGTGGGTCAAACATGGGTACAACAAATGGATTCCTGGTAACTGGAAACAATGACTAAAACCTGTGGTCCCCTGGTGGTATTTAGTGTTGACCCATACCCATGTGGCCCATATGCAATTCACAGTTGGAATTGAAGGAATCCCTCACAAAGGCTCCCTGTGGGAGAGATTCCCCCATTCAAAGGGCGAAAATGGCATGGTTCTTGATCACAGTGCGGATTCAGGGGCTCCAAAGGGACTGTGGGGCTTCGCGCTGGTCGTGATAGGCTAGCAGCAAAAACGATCAGATTCTGACATTAGGCTCAGCTAGCTTCAACTCGAGCACACACATTGCCTGACCAAACTGTCGGACCTAGGCTGGAAGTGAAAGGCACTGTCGGGTGCATCGTCACCAGGCTGCCCTGTCTGGGGTCCAGCGAAACGGTTTTTCTCAGGATCTCACAAGGAGAAACAAACACCTGGTTTTGTTTGGGCGCCGGAATCCCCCGCTTACGAGCCATACCGACTACTTCCAAAACCTGAGGGCCCAGCGAGTCTCAGGCGCCCCGCAGTCCTGCCATGGGCCATGTTGCCGGGGGCCTTTCTCAAGATGCGGCCTTCCTTTGGATTTCCCTGTAGATACCAGGCAAAAGGATCCGAGATCCATTTGGCGAAACCCGTGGTTCTCCTTTAACAGAAGCCCGGGCGCAGAGGACAAGACCTCAGAAGGTTTCACCAGAATTCGGGAGCCATCCAGGTGGTTAGTTTCCTTCTGATTTCCCTCTAAACCTGGCAATGCTTGTCTAAACCCCCTAGAGGTTAATGATAAAGGGATACAATGGGTTCACCCTACACGTGAGAAGCCAAAATTGCATTCTGAAATGCTTTTGGGAAATCCCGTGACGACACGACAATCCGCAAGCAAAGTGTCTCTTTGTGAATGCACTGGAAAACAGCAGCAAAACCCAAACTCTTGTTTCTGAGGCCGGGAAAAACGTCTTGTTCCCCAAAAAGGCATAAGATTGGCTTGCCGCCCTGGCTTTTGCGGGCAATTTGCGGCCTCGCCCCAAGCCAACAAAAGACTAACAACATGAGTTGCTCACATGAGAGCCAAAATGCTGAGTGGACATCATTCCAGAGGGCACAGTGCGTATTCTCAATTCCCCCCATGCCAAAGAATATTGTATGTCACCCCTTTGAATCACAATCGAAACCTGGCATCAGCGCGGCCTACGCAAAGGCAAAACCATCTAAGAAACATACAAACGGGCGGCTGCACCTATATATGCCTGCAACTGTCCCTTTCTCACCTTCATTTACCCGGCCTTAGATGCAACCAAATGGCCATGAAGAAAAGGTTACGTTGCAAACCACAATTGAACCTGACCCATCGTCTGAAGAGAGCCATCTGTGTCACCCGTCCTGCCATCTGGCTTTCTTCCGTTCCTCGGGGTGGCTTTGGGGGCACGTGCCGTAGCCACAACATGCACGGGCACATGCAATTCCGCCCCAACCAAGCGAGATCCGATGCAAACATTAGACTAGACGGGCACCCCCCCTGGCAATGAAAGCCCTTCCCAAAAACAAAGAGCTGCACACGGCTTGTTTGGTCCAAACAGTAAAGGATTAGACCTACTGCAGTCCTCGCGACCTGTATGACAAAAGTCAGCCAACGAAACCTAGGAAACTACCACTATATACAGGCTATGTCTATACATCTATCTATCGATCTTTCTTTCTTTCTATGTATCTAACAATATAAGTACATTCGCTCACTCCCCCCCCTCACTGAATTCGAGTCTAAATGGGTAGTGCTTTCCAAAAAGGGGCAGCATTGCTTCTAATGTTGTTTACACTATGGCCCTGTTGTAGCACAAACGCTTTGTTCCATGCTTTTCTATTACACGTCACACAAGCACTGGCGGGGTCCCGCACTTTGACTTTGAAGAACGCCAACTCGAAAACGGAATCCGTTTCTGGTTTATAGTGCGTGTGCGTAGTTCATGTGTCAAGGATTGTTCAGCAGAATTGTGTCAGCAAAAAGCTCAGCAACAGACCTTGTATTCACGGTGGTTTGACAGGGCTCAGACACACCACGCAATGAATGACAGACTAGAAGCCTGATTACGGAAAGGAATTCCTTTGCCACCGGGGTGGCCATGTATATAGGGGTCGGTTCCTCCAAGGCTACATGCAACATATAAGCCGGCAATAAGTTTCTTTTACCCAAACGATGTCATCGACCGTGCAGCCAAAGTGCAGCCGTGCACTTCGCACAGCGACACGTGTCATCTTCACCCACCGGTGCCCAGCGCAACCTGAGAGGCTGAATCCATGAATCCATTTGGGTGTGATGATCCTCTGTTGCCTTCCCTTTGGCAAACTGACGCCATGCCGCGGGCCATACCACAATATCCGGCGAAAGCGCCAAAAGCAAGCCGAAGGGGGCTGGGACTTTGCGGATATCTGGAGCAATTTGGCCCCCAGAAACTCCTCGTCTGTTTTGGGTGCCCTGAACTCCGCACAAGGAGTTCACCCCCAAACAAACTCTCAACAAAATGAACAAACATAGCCACATGCAGGGTCAGCGCTACAAATTTTAGAAACCAAAGCAGCCCTCCAACTTGCCAACTCAATTCTATCTTATTTGGCTGTGGGTCAAAAACAGGTACCCGAAATGGGTTACCCTCTGGTAAATGGAACCCAGGACTGAAACCTGCGTTTTTTTTCTGGCGGTTTCATTTCGACGCCGAGCCGCTCTCCTCGACCATTGCGCTTGGCCAAGTGCCGCTGGATGTCGGCAGTGGTGAGCCACACCCCGTGACCCGTGCCCGGCCGGAAGTAGCCTGAGGCGTGAGGCATCAAAATCCCTGCGGAGGACTCCAGGTGGTGTCCGTTTAAGGCCTTCCGCAAAGCCAACGCCACCTCCCAACAAGATTGAACGCTTTGAACATATCACCTGGAACATGTTGGGAAATTGCTCAAAAAGGTAGAGACCCCCTTTTTGCAAGGGAAGCTCAAAAATATGAGAAACGACCCTTGGACTCGTCCAAAATCGACGCCAATTGAAACCAGAGTGAAACCAGCATCCATGCACCAAATCGACCAAGGGCCATGCCCCTTCTTGAGCCCTTTAGGTTCCCCTCAGGGGCCCGTTTGTTTGTTTAAGCACACTTTGTAAACAACAAAACCCTCATTGGAAGGCATGCAAAATGGTTCGGCGCCCCAGTTGCAATCAGTGACCCCTTCGGTACAAACAAGAATTGGCACCATTCATGGTTGGCTGACAATGTTCAGTGGGGAGCCCAGCAACATTGCAACAGGGATCCTTACATTATACACCGGAACATTGCCTTGTAAATGGTGAGTTCCCTTTATTTTGGTGGAAAAAGCCATGTTTCAAATGGGCAAAATGTATCTTTTAAGGAGCCCTGTACAACAAACCTTGAAATTACCCTTAACAAACCTCCGGAGTTGTTGAGCGAGCTTTCTTTCGGCATGCTGCATCTGAGAAGGCATTTCTCCCATGCCTGCCGAGACATCATCACACGCCTGAATGAATCTCACGAAAACATGGGCGCAGGCAATACTTTTGCGCCGGGTTCGAGCGAACCAAGCAAAAGACCGAATCCATTTTGACACGCCATGCCTGCGAATGAACAACTGCGTGCCACCTGCTCTCGCTTGACTGCTTCATGCTAGATTCTTCGCTCCCGCCTTTCGACGGGCATCTCAAAGAGCCTTTCAGCTGTTGGAACTTTTGGCCACCGTACCCTTGCTTGGATCAGGACTCAGCTTGGAGAGTCTACCTGGGGTGAGCACTGTACCCTCAAAGGGCTCTGGAGACTCCATTCTCAGAAATGGTGAGGTTCCGTGGGCCCTTCTTACAGCATTCAGCAGGGTCCCCCCCCCCCCATTTACTATCCAAATGAAGCCGAGCAGCAGGTGTGCATCTGGTTCTCGGGAACCTGTGCGATCCCGGTCCTATGGATCCGTCCAATGGGTACGGTAGCAACAAACTGTGTGTTTTTGCAGCCCCTACTGAGAAATGAACAGAACCAAACCAGCAAACAAAAACAAAACCAAAACCGTGCCAGCAACAGTGGAGGTTTCGATGTTCTCGTGCCCCCTGATTTTCAGTGGGCGACGACCTGCGGCCCAGGCGCGCGGACATGGGGTGGCCTGGTCCAAATGAGGAAGACAAGCCGGAAGCCAGAGGTGACTCCAGTAACCTCAGAGGCTGACAATGGATGCCATAGGAACGTTCCCAACCCCACTAGATCCACTATTTAGCCACCATATAACCGGGTACAGGCTATAAGCCAACCCAGTTTCCCATGTCCTGCTTGGTTGCTTTTGTTTTGTGGAGTGGGGGTGGTCAGAGTGTTCAGAGCTGGTCCCAAATGTCACGGGGCATTGGCGCCGTTGAAGAAATAGAATGGGGGGGGTACTTTGAAACCACATTGAGTCATAGGAGCAAACTATTCGTACTTTTTAACCCCTTCTATTTCCCATATCCGTAGAAATTACCGGGCCGAAACTTATCTGCACCCATTCGTGGTTGGGACGCTTGGTTAATACCCTCCCAGAACTTGGTTGCATCAGTCAGATCGTTCGCAGGTGCGGCTTGTCCGTTTCTTCGAGCCCCAAGGTGCAACGAATTTGAACCCCTTTCACTGCTTGGAGGCAGCCAAGGCCCGCAACCTCCTGGAAAGGCGGTTGAAACAAGGGCGTCTGATCTGGAGTTCTAGATTTGATCGAAGGGTCGTGGCTCCCCTGAAGTCAAGCAGGCTGATCCTGGCAGTTGGCTTTTCAACATGTGCCCCTGGGTCACCTGAGTGAATGTATCTCTGAGAATCCTGCACTACGGGGCCCCAAACACTTTGAGGTCTGAGCATCCCTCAACCATCCCAATTGAAACGTAGGGAGGTCAACCCCCCATTCTGTAGGGGAAATTTCAAGGGAGTCCTCTACCATTTCATCGGAAAATTGAGGGCTCGATGTCAATGTCCCCCCTGAAGTCCTGATCCGGCTGAGGCTGATCTTTGGGGGCTTTTCACCATGCGCCCAAAGGTAACCAGCGTTCGTTTTCTCAAAAGTTGGCTGCTTCCAGCTGGGTCTCTGCGTGGATGTTGCGGTGGCAGCCGCAGAAGGCGATGCCATGCCCTGGAAGTGCCAGATTGGCCAAGCCCAAGGTGGAACCTTCCATTTGTAAGTGGCCTTTCGGAAAAAAATAGATGGCCGTGGCAAATGGAATCACACCCATCTCAACCAGGCAATCTATTTTTAGTCAAACTAACCCAAGAGGGGCACCTATGCTTCCATGTCTGTGGCTGTCCCACGCGCTGGTTTACCTAAATGGCTCCATGTCACGACCCCTTTTTGACCTTCGGCTTCTCAGCGAGACTTGATAATTTGACCCACTGCTTCAGGCGCTTGGCCGTCTCAAGATCACCCCGCCTTCCTGGCACTTGTAGTTGGCCACTGGCTCCTGGCGATGCTCAAGACATGTGCCACTCTGCTCAAGCTGGATGTATGAACCCAAAAAAGGGTTTCCCCTGAGATGATCCCCTACATTGGCAAATTCGCCAAGCATGGCGGAAGCGTGGGAGAACCAGAGACTTCCGGCGTGGGCCCATGATTCGACGCAGGTTCAGTCAATCTGTTATAAGGGGTGAGAAACTGACACCTGAATCCTCTGCAGCGGCCTTGCTGGGGAAGGCCCGAAAGTGCGTAAATTTATTGTAGCTCCATTTTCGTCGTGGCCTCCCTTTTGGACCAGTCAATACAATGTGACTCCCCGCGTGACAATCTCAAGTCTCTACTTACGGAGCGCTTGAACCTGCCGTGCACTGAAATCGAGAGCATTGCACTGAGGTCAGCGCACACTTGCATTGGCAGGTGCCAAGAAGACATCTGCTTGAAGCAACCAACCGCCCGTCCTTGATGCCAAAACCCCTGAAGAATTGCACCAAGCCGCCCTCGTAGCCAGCGGGATCGCAGAGAGATACCGAGCAACTGTAGCTCCGATAGGAGGTCTTCCTCAGGTCAAGACACCAGCCAGAAAGCGGACCGACCCTTCCATGCACGGTGGAACCTGACTTGGGGGGCTGGAGGGCCATCTTCCTCAGGTTCAGGCGATGCGATACCTTCCAAAACCAACCAGAGTTGCGGATCACCATCTTCTTTCCCAAGAGCAGTAGTGCAGCATGTTTTGCAAGGGTCCACTAAGCGAACTTGAACAGGCCTTTCAACCTGCAAGAGCTTCCTTTCTCTTGAAGCATCTTAGCCACATGTGCCGAGCCCGAGCCCTCAAAGAACATTTTTTAGGTGAACTTCTTTGCTGGCCCTCCCTTGCCAGCACGCCAACCAGTACAGTACCTGAGCACACAAAACATTTGAGCGAGCACACTATGCATGTGGCTGTCAACAAAAGCCTCAACCTTCTCAACATGTGGGTAATCAAACCAGTGGCCCCGCGGTTCACTCGCTGACACCTTTGCACCAGCAAGCCAAGCGCGATTCACATTGGATGCCCACGGAAGCCAAGCCCACGATTGCCATATCGCGTGCCCACAGCGTGCCCACTGGCGGGATCACTATACCAACATCACCAAGCAGGTGGCCCCATAGCCGGGATCTCACGATATCGGTGGCTCACGGCGGATTCTTCATCCTTCACTGCCAGATTCCTTCGGCCCAGCGGCTCATTCCTCCAAAGCACATAGGCGCCTTCTCGTGCAGCCTGGACTTCGTCCTGCACAATTGGTCAGGGCAAACTGCACCCTCCATGGAAGGAAGGTCTGGAAGAACTCATGTTGAACCAAAAGCTTTGGGCATCCAGGGGTTTATTGTTGAGTTTATTAGGAATTCACTTTTGGAGTGGAACAGCCCCCCATTAATAAACTGGGGTTGATGAATTCTGGGGTCAACACTACTTTCTGGGGGAACTAAGAGAGGCCTCGCACGCTGAGCGCTGCAAGAAGTACTCATGCTGACGTTCGTGACTGTATTACCAAGGTCTTTTTGAGGAATCCTGCATTCAAGACCGCAACCTAAAAGTGGCCCTGGCTTCGCGAAAGGAACTGCAACTCTGTTTGTGCGGATGTGCCTGGCTCACGTAAGGAGCCACTTTCCAGTCGGCCAGCTGCAACGTGCATAAAGAGCCCAAAGCCCGAGCTGAGAAACCCTCATGAAGCGACCCCTCATCACAAGTGAGAGCGTTTTAACCCCGAGGTGAGCACACCATGAAAATTAGGCATCATAGGTACAGTGGGCAGGCGCCCGTGCGGAGTATGCATAATCATGGTCATCAGTATGCTCATCAGAAGCGCTATCAAAGAATCCTAAAAGTGGGAAACAGGCCTTTGTAAGAGGCCGGTAGTCTTCTTAAACCCTCGTTGAAAACAAGGTCTCGTTTCCAGCATGAACATGTGGATGGATGCGGCGTGACCAAACGTATGCGTCAAGCCCCTCGGCACAAACGGGCCTACTTCTCCGCCGGCATCATTCAGCGCTTTCTTGGACCGGGGCCGCTTAGCAACAGGTTCTCGGGCCAGTGTTGACTTGTGGCTGCATGCTCTTTGTGAGAATCCACAACGGTTGCCAAGCAATGCTTCCCCCCCCCCCCTCGCGCTCAGAAGTGCAGCGCGTGGATTTTCTTTCAAAGAAGCAAGCCAGGTTCACGACAGCTGGCTGCTAAATGGTGCTTACGCACGCCCGCATGCAAAAGTCCCATGAATGCAGTAATTTTAGCAATCTTCAGCAGTCTTGCAATTCATGACGGACACATTGCGTGTGGCTCTCTGGGGTTCGACCAGCTGTCCTCTTTCGGCACGCGCTCACCCTGCCACCAGACAGAGTCAAATTGTACATTGTCCGCGTGCGGGGGATGGCCGATGTGATTGGTGTTGCCTCAGCTGCAAGCGATGGAACGATAGCGCTGGCACGAGCTCGCGTTTGCCTATCAAAGCATCTCGCTTGCATTGGCTGGCAACTTTACATCGCTTCTCCTGGTCACATCCATCCTGCAAGCGCCGAACCCAAACAAACAATTAGAAACCCACAAATATCCAAGTAATTTCTTGGAACAACACGCTGCCAAGCTGGCTGCGGAAAATGCGCATCACCAACTGGGTTGAACAAAACAACGCGGCGAACCTACATTGCCTCAGCATTGCTTTCGTTGTTCCTCCTCAATTATCTTGCGGGTTGTTTGCATGTCCGCGTTTATTAATACAGGCCGCATTGAAAGGTACAGAAGAGAATGCGCTGCAGATTCTGCCGGTGTTTCTATGTACAACGTGAGACAGACATGGCTCACCTCTGGATCAGAATGGATCAGGCATACAGCGGCATACAGCATGTTGGCTGGCACGGCCGCACGTTCCGAGGGCAAATGGCTTCAGCGTTTCCAGAGCCTTCGGCAGCAAAGGAAGCTCAGCCTCAGTCCAGTCGAAAACAAAATGGCTAGCTGCAAGTGGCTTCCGCGGCTAGCCTCACCAGGTTATTGAAGCACACGCTTGCTTTATAACCAGGAATCTGGTCCACGTCCTGCCTTTGATTCTCAAACACCAGCAAGAGCCTCTCGCTTGCTTCACCGGAAGGGTCTCAAGCATTGCAGCATGTGCCACTGCGCAACATGGACCGGAACTCCAACAGCATGGCTTGGAATCCGCAGGGCTGCCACCAACCAGTCCAAGACGCATTGTGTGAGCACAAGGCTTCAAGCACTATGCACACCATAGACAAAGGAGGCATGGCATGAGGCAAGGGAAACCTCTCAAGATCAGAGGGATCTCTACCTGCACTTTTAGCAGAAAAATGGACACCCACATCTTCAAGATCTAAATGGTAAAATGCACATTGCAGAAGAGGAATGCCTGTCCAAGCCAAACAAGAAAGGAGACTCTCGATTTTCTTCGTCTGCTCCTCCCTCTCTCGCTCAATCGGAATTTTCAGAACCCATTTACTGGGCTCCCCCATTTCTCTTTTTGGATCCTCCAAAGTGGCATCCCATCGTTTTCAGTGAAGACCACCAGTCAATTGACCCCAAAAAGCCGCGCCCTGGCTGGGTCCGCGGCAGCGTCCAGCCGCAAAGCCCCACCGCGGCGGCCGATGGCACCAGGCCCTCTGCCGGCCGCGCGGGCGGACGCAGCAGCGTTTGGACCGCCTCCAGGGCTCGGGGCCACTCGTAGCGGACCTTGTGCCCGCACCTGGCGTGCGACATGGCGTCGGAACCGGCCAAAATGCGCCCCCCGTGTTCCATGACCGGCTGTTTGGACCGTTTGGCGGCTGGGACAGGAGGAAAAGAAGACACCT